TCCCCTCGGGCTTCCTAAAGCAGCCACAGGCAGCCAAAGAGGCCGGCACGGGGCTGGGCAGGGCGGGGGCTCTGCTCGTGTTTGTGATTGTTCTTTATTTTCTGCTCCTGTGGAGGAATTTCTTTAAAGCAACAGGAGCTGTGTGTTTTGTAACAAAGGATGAGAGAGGGCTTAGAGTCTCATTTAAAATGGGGTAGTTTGGGCATGGTTTAAAATGTGATAGTGCGGGTAATATTTAAAATACTGTCGTTTTAGATAGTGATGGGTTTTCATCAGAGATGGATGAGAATCACAAATGGATGAGAATCACAAAGCCCAGACTGCTTTGGCTTGGAAGGGACCTTAAAGCTCATCCAGTTTCAACCCTGACACCTTCCAGGCTGCTCAGAGCCCTGTCCAATCTCACCTTGGACACTTCCAGGCATCCAGGAGCAGCCACATCTTCTGCAGAACAGCTACCAAAGCTCCTGCTGCATTTTGATGGTTATTTTTCCATTTCCCCCGCGCCCCTGGGGCGGCAGGAGCAGTGCAGGGCTCAGTGGCCGTGTGTTGTTGCAGGACTCGTACCGCAAGCAGGTGGTGATCGATGGGGAGACGTGCCTGCTGGACATCCTGGACACGGCGGGGCAGGAGGAGTACAGCGCCATGAGGGACCAGTACATGAGGACAGGAGAGGGCTTCCTCTGCGTCTTCGCCATCAACAACAGCAAATCCTTCGCTGACATCAACCTCTACAGGTACAGCTGGGCTGCCCCGGGGACAGGGAGCAGGGACACTGGCTGAGCGAAGCGCTGGAGTGCCTCAGTGAAAGCTCAGGAATGGACAAATGTTGAATCTCCCACTTCTTTCAGGAAGTTTTGTCACTGTTCTCTGCCAGTGCATGGAATCACAGACAGGGGTGGGTTGGAAGAGACTTTAGAGAATTTAGATCCATGGCAGGGACACCTTCCTCCATCCCAGGCTGCTCCAAGCCCCATCCAGCCTGGTCTTGGGCACTGCCAGGGATCCAGGGGCAGCCACAGCTGTGCCAGGGCCTCAGCACCACCTTTAGTCAGTTAAGACTGAGATGATTTTTATCCAGTTTTATTAATTTTTTTAAATCAATCCTTATAAATATCTCCAAAAGTGCCACGAGAACAGTGTCAGACTCTCTTCAATGATGCCCAGGGACAGGACAAAGAGCAGTGGCCATAAACTAAACCACAAGTTCCACCTCAACGTGAGGAAAATCTTCTTTCTATGAGGGTGGCAGAGCCTTGAGCAGCTGCCAGGGAGTTGTGGAGTCTCCATGTCTGGACACATTCCAAACCCTCCAGGATGGGGTCGCCTGTTCCAGGTGATCTTGCCTTGGCAGAGGGGTTGGGCTGGGTGATCTCCCTTCCAAGGCCCGCTGTTCTGGGATTCTGTGAATCAGATGCCATTTGCAGCTACAAAATGTCATCTCTGAGAAAATGAGAAATCCACAGGAGTTATCCATGGACAGAAAATGAAGTGTACAAAGTGCTTGCCCATCCTGCTGACCCCTGAGGCCCTGCTCACCTTTAATGTGTTTTTGTGGCACAAGGTTGTTTGAATACTGAACTAAACCAGTTTTTCTGTTTAGAAAATACTTCCTAATTTTATTTTTTTTAATAATTTGTCTTCCTAAAGAGAACAGATCAAGAGAGTGAAGGACTCAGATGACGTGCCCATGGTGCTGGTGGGGAACAAGTGTGATCTGCCCACAAGAACAGTGGACACAAAGCAGGCCCAAGAATTGGCAAAAAGCTACGGAATCCCCTTCATAGAGACCTCTGCAAAAACGAGACAGGTGAGGGGCTCCCCCAGGGCCCGACTCCTTCCTGGGAAATGCAGCAAGGACATTTTCCCTTGTGCTTTTGCCTTATTTACAGGAGAAGCGTTTTTTCAATCCCTTTACAGTTTTTTGCTTTTATTTCCCCGCTCACTATTTCAAGAGTTCTGGGCTGGGCCAGTGCAGGAATCACTTCAGACTCACCCTGACTTCCTTTCAAGTGGGTCAGGTTGATAAATAACAGAGAATAAAAAAAATTTCAACTCCCCTGAAGTTACTAAATAAAACTTAAAAACTAACTAGGAAAAAAAATACTCAAAATAATAAACATAACTGATACCAGTAAATGTAGAGATAAAGAAACCTACAGTGGTTTTGTGGAAAATTACGTAACAAGGAAAAAATAACACGTGCCCAAAAATATGTTAAAATTAACCTTTGCTATCAAAACATTCCAATGCAACCACCAAAAAACCCTCTTAATAAACCTCCAAAGCTATAAAAAAAATCCCAAAAAGAAACAAATGGCTGCAAAATAATTCCTAAAAAATAATACTTATGTCTTAAATAAAAAAACACATTTTAACTATAATAAATTAATACCTTATTATCAAATCCCACAAAACACACAGAAGGAAAAGAAACCCAGCTATTTGCTACTGCTTCAAATGATGTTAAAATTTTGATTGCAGCCAGTTTCAGCATCTTGCAGTGTTGGCAGGAGGAGCAGCAGAGTTTCAGCTGCTCTCCCTGGGCAGTGTCAGAGGCTGAGCTCCCTCAGCCCAGACCTGCTGGGTGCTCTTGGCTCGTTAATGAAAGCCAATTAGCAGATTATGATTGCAGACAGAATTCCCCAGACTGGACTAATGGGCTTCTCCAAAGCCTCCTTGGCCACGTGGGCCAGCCTGGAGCAGGGGAACAGAGCAGGGAAGGTGCAATTCCTGAGCAGCAGCCAGAAAAATCCTGAAGAGCTGAATTCTAAGAATTCTAAAATTAGGCAAGGAGCAGCTGGTTTCCTGCATGGAGCCTCCCTGAGATGCAGTTTTCCATGTTTATTTTAGTGGTTGCTATCCCAGGAGGAGTCAGGCTGGGACATCCATATGGGAGGAGCCACGGGATCAGTTGGGTGCTGCTCTTCTGCAGAATTGTGACTTTCAAATCCTCTGAGGGGTTCTGGGATGAGTGATGTTGTGGACAGATGAGTGATTTCAAAATCCTGAGGGAGGAAAATGCCTGACCTTGTGTTTGCATTCAGGGTGTGGAAGATGCTTTTTACACCCTGGTGAGGGAGATCCGGCAGTACCGGATGAAGAAGCTGAACAGCAGCGAGGATGGGAACCAGGGCTGCATGGGACTGTCCTGCCTTGTCATGTGAGAAGGTGAGCTGGAACCTCACTGGGCACTCCTCTTGTGCCTCCCAGCAGCTCCTGAGCGTGGTTAGAAATGCTGCCTGCTCTAGGTGGGGTTTTCCCCTTTTACAGAATGTATTTGTGGGAATGTTCCTCACTCGGGGTCACCAAGTGTGGTGGTGTTTGCAGGGGTGCCAGGAGGAGGGAAAAGATGATTTATTATTTCATTATTTATATTATATTCAAAGAAAATGATATATTAAAACTATACTAAAAGAATAGAAGAAAAGATTTCATCAGAAGGCTTGAAAGGAATAGAAAGGAATGATAATAAAATCTTGTGACTGACCAGAAAGTCCAAGCCAGCTGACTGTGATTGGCCATTAATTACAAACAACCACATGAGACCAATCACAGATGCACCTGTTGCATTCCACAGCAGCAGATAACCATTGGTTACATTTTGTTCCTGAGGCCTATCAGCTTCTCAGGAGAAAAATCCTAGCAAAAGGATTTTTCATAAAATATGTCTGTGACACATATTGATTCCCAGAGAATTGGATTCTACAATGGATCCTACAGTGGATTCTGTAATTGGATCCTACAATGTTTTAAAGCTCTAAAAAGAAAAATTCCCCTCTAACTTGGTGGCAGAGCTTAAGAAGAGGAATTTTCATTCACATCACTCCTTTGACTGATGGGTGGATGGAACAAGATGATCTTTAAGGTTGCTTCCAACCCAGAACATTCCATGATTTCCACCAATTCCAATGGTGAGATTTGCTGTGTCATTCCTTTCTGTCTCCTTCTTTTGGGAAACCATTTGGACTGTTTGGAGAAGGTGTAATTTCTGAGGAAACACCTTGAAAGAGGGGTGTGCTCACCTGAGTGTTTGACTCCTGCGCAGCTCCCCGTGAGCTGTGTTCCTCTGGAACATGCTGATTCCAGGACTAACCAAATAAAATGGTGAAATAACCAATTACCAATTTACTCCCACAGGATTTTCCCCATTTTTTTCCATTTATTCCCATTTTTTCCCATTTTTTTCCCATTTATTCTCATTTTTTCCCATTCCCGGATTTATTACTGATTTTTTTTCCATTTTATTCCTGGATTTTTTCCCATTTTTTCCCC